AAGAAACATGTTTCTGAGATCAAAGATATGTTAAGAAACAATTAGCAATTCTAATAAGATAACAATCCAAAGTACACAAGTGATATGATAAAAGAATATCTTTAAAATAACTTCTCAAGAGTAATTGATTGGTCATCTAATAGTTCTGACCTAAATCCTATTGAAAACTTATAATGTATTATCAAGAGAAATGTAGAGATATAACAACCAAAAAATATTTCACAATTAGAGCAATTTATGAAAAAGAAATAGGCAGAGATTCTCTAATATCTTATTAATAATTTAGTGAGATCTATAAAAGAGTATTATAAACTTATTATCAAAAATAATGATAAATATATTTCTTATTAATTTTTTTTAAAATAATCTTATATTTTTTAGCTTTTAAATGAATCATTAAACATGTAATTTAGATTAGCTATTGTGGCGCAACATACTGTATACTTCATCCAAATCTAAAAGATAGATCTTATTATATTTCAAATATTTAATAATCTCACAAAAAATTATTCAAATTATTATTGATGATATTTTTACAAAAACTTCAAGTAGCATGACTATGATATTTCACTTAGTAAATATATGCATGCATTTACTTATATAATTAATTAAAAGAACTTGAAGTATATATGTATGTAAAATTATTGGACATAGGTAATCATATTATGAAGTGTATGAAAATCTAAAGAGGAAAAAATATAAGTTAATATTAATATTAGTAAATGAAGATATTCTAACGTTAAATATGAAAAGAGACTTATTAAATATAGCTTGTTTTATAAAATATAATGTAATAAAATAATTAAAATTTAAAAACTTTTATCCTGCAAATTTATTTTATTAATATTTAAATTTATTATTTATTTAATACTTTCAAAATAATTATTTTTAAATATAATATATAATTAAATGAAATATAATAAAAAATAGGTTACCATTACTTTTGCCAGGAATTATAAGAGAAAAAATAAGGAAATAAAAAAGTGAATATTGCATAAAAATTATTTACATATAATAATAGAGAAAAATAAAGGAAAAAAAAAGTTGAATAAGAAAAAAGAAACTGAGATAGGAAAGTCATCACCATATAAAAGTTCATAAAGAATGATAAAAATAATTATTTCTTTTTTTCTTGAATCTGTTGCAAATTCACTATCATCACAAAGTACTACAATTTTGATATTAAAGCCTTCTAATTTAAGTTAATTAAGATATTAAACATATTTGACCTATTATATCTGAAAAAAAGAATAAAACTGAAATATATTTCTAATTAGTAAAGTTAGAGTAAAACTTCAATATAACTCAAATTATTTTAGTGTTAGATAAATGAATAAAAATAAATCCTTCAACCAGCCAAATATCTTCAATCAATCTGAATCCTTCTATTAATCTATTCCAACCCCAAGAACATAATATATCTAATCTGAGAAGAATTCTAATTTATATAATTAGAATCCTTCTCAAAAAAATGTAAAAAAATAATTAATGATTACTATATATTAAAAATAAAAATATATATAATAAATACTTTCTTACCATATATATATAATATGCATATGTTATTATCTGCAATTTATCTCAATATCTCAAATCTTACCTAATTTTTATTCATCTAACTAAACCAAGATAATTTGAGTTGATGAAGTGTTACTATACCTTTACTAATAGAAATATATCTACAATTTTATCTCTTATTTCTCAGAAGATATATTAAAAATCAACACAATTATTATATAATTATATTATATAATCTATATAATAAGTCATAATATATTCAAACCAAAAAAGATAAAAGATCAGCAAGATTTCAAAGTGTCAAAGAATTATACAACAAATTATATAATGAAATATCTGGCTATTATATAATGAAATTTATTATATAAATTTGTGATAACAGAGATCGTGATAACATAAATGGCAGAAAAAAAAGATGTTGACAACAATAAAGATGAAGATGATAGTGATGATAAAAATGATGGTGAAAATGATAATGATGAAGATAATGATAAAAGTTCTAATGGTAATGATAGTGATAATATTGGCAAAGGTGGTGGTGATAATGTTGGTAAAGATGGTGATAATATTGACAAAAGTGGTGATAATATTGGCAAAGGTGATAATGATAATGATAGTAATGGTGATGATGATGATGATAATGATAGTGGTGATGATAATAGTGGTGATGATGATGGTAATGATAGTGATGATGGTAATAGTGATAATGGTGATAGTGATGATGTTATTAATGTTGATGATATTTTTTTAATTCTTTTGTTATTATTATTATTATCATCATCTTTGTCATATTTTCTTTTTGATACTGATTTTGATATTGATAATATTTTCTCAAACCATATTTTTTTAATTCTTTTATTATTTTTATTATTATTATCATTATCATTACTATATTTTCTTTTCAACAATGATAATATTGATTTATTATTATTATTATTATCATCAGACTTAGTATCTTTTAAAGATTCAATTGATTCTTTGAGTTTGTCTTCTTGAAAAAGAATATATGATTCAACTCCAGTTAGAATATTATATACTACAAATAGAATGAGGACTGACCCCCAAGCATATGGATATACTTTTTTTTTAAACTTGTCAAAATTACAAGACTGTTTTTTTTGCTTATAAATTGGTGACTTAATTACTATTGTTAGCTGATTTTGATTTTTAATATTTGTAATTTGTCAAGACTGAGTATAGTTATCACCATCCTGTGATCTTGCATGAATTTTTAAAGCAATATCAGAAAGATCAATAATTAATATTATTAATATTTCTTTAATTAATCATTCTTTAGCCTCCTGTATAGTTAATATGGGAAATTCATATTTCAATTTTTTTTGTATATATTCTGAATATTTTTGCGCAAGTGAATTAAAACCCAGATATAATTGTTCAATTTCAAATTTTCTTTTTTTAGAATTTTCTGATGGTTGAATTAGAGGTAAAGATTTTGCTGATAAAAATAGATTAATTTGAGATAAATATAAACAGAGTGTTTCAATTGATGAAGATGATAACAATAAAGATGGAGATGATAATGAAGATGGAGCTAATGATAAAGATGGAGCTGATGATGAAGACAGAGAAGAAAAAAGAGATAAAGATGATAATGATGATAATAATGATGATGACAATGATGATGATGATGAAAATGAAGATGGAGACAAAGATGATAATGATAATAAAAATAGAGATGAAGACAAAAATAATGATGATAATGGAAACAGAGATGAAAACAGAGAGTTACTTCTGTTATTAAATATTTCTTTAGATATTTTTATGCTTAATATTTTGTTTAAGAAAGATACTGCTAAAGAGCTAGATATTAAATTTGATACAAATTCATGTTTCTTTGATCTTTTGAGAGATCATTATTGAACCAATTCTTCTTTGATTAAAAGAATTACAGATGAAATTAATACATTAAACGGAATTGACATCATTCCTTATAAATCATCATTCAATGAGAAACCAGAATTATTAGGTTTTTTGCAATCCATTAATAGTATAATATTTTTAAAGCTGGCAAAATATATATAACTGTAAAAATTTTTTGGCAATTTGTTGATATATCATGAAAATTTTTTTGGCAATTTATCGATATAACGTTTTTTGGATCAATCAAAGTGGCATTTAGCTTTTGTCACATAAATGCTCGTGTCTCTAATATTTTTTTGATAAATGTATCCCCAAATTAATTAATGTGGGTTTGTAGGTTGTTTATAATCAAATCACATGTGCGATTTTTTGCTTTACCATTTGGTGTAATCAGAGCTACGAAGCGACCAAGATTATATTATCCACCCTTTGCTGATTTTAATTATCATATTTCGATTCCATTTATAACAGCGGCAAAAATTAAATTGCCCAATTGCATCTCCTATCTGACGATTTCAAATACATGTACCATCCTCCCTTTGCTGAATTTCGATACTTCTCGAACACTTTTTTACCTTCTTTGTGTACGCCAATGCCATTTCGAATTTACATTGTCATTCATTCTCTGCCGATTTTAATACAGAAGAAGAAAAGAATTATTTTTTTAGTCAAGCAGAAAATAACCTTGATAATGTTTTTTAATTAGCAAATTTATTAAGAAAAATTGTGCGAGTTCAAAAAGGATATGATTTAAATAACAGTTTGCGAGATAGTTTATTAGACGAGACGAAAAAAAGAAAAACACAGGTTTTCAATTCAAATGATTAACTTACAATCGCGATAATCCTCGTGAGCGAATATTATTTGATAACCATGAGGAAAAGGACCACATTAGCATGTTAAAAGCTTTTTTCTCATCTTTTTGCGTCCAATATCTTTTTGATAACAGAGCTCCAATACGTTTTGGTGGCGAAAGGGGAGTTATTCGAATTACTTCTTTCCTCACGTTTATCTATGTCATGGACGCGTGTTTCGTGTTAAGAGTTTTGTGAAAAAAAAAGAAGTTAGTGAAGATGAATTCTATTTGTTCTAAATGTGGTGCAACACAAAAATTTGTCAACTGACCTAATGAAAATTTACAAAGATGTGTTCTTTTCGGCTTTTCCAGTTATCGGTCGGGTCGAATTAGTCACCAACGAATCCTTTGTCCGGCAATTGGTTAATTTCGGCACGATTTCGTCGACCAGGGAGAACTAGCCGATTCGTTGGATAAGTCATTCGATACGTGGTCGTCCTCGAGTTTAACATTTTAATTTGCTCGCCTTCGCCGATTAAAATTTGGTTGCAACTTACGCTCTGTGATAGCACCTTGGAATTGTTTTGAAGGATTCGGGCCAGGTGTACGGCATAGGTTACAACCTCTTCTTGCTGCAAATTGTAATTTACTTGTTCTATGCAAAATTTTTTTTCGTGTTCCATTTTCTTATGCGGTTCACTATGTATATCTTTTTGTTTGATTTCGCCTAGTGGTCGTGGAAATATTGCTCCGCAAAGTTGCCGTTCACAAAAATCGGCCGTTGATTTTCATTGTATGCGAAATCATGCCTTGCGCTATCTCGTCTCCCAGTTTAAGTTTATATTCTTCCTTTGTGGTTTCATTATTTTCGAGGTTGATTTTGTGAGTTCTTTGTTCGCCAGTTTCTTTCGTTATTATATATCTTGAATTGTCAGATTAGGATATGCGTTTTTTGCTTGTACTCGGCGATTTCTTCTTTCACCATCGCCGGCTTCGTTGTTGCTTTGATTCTTCTCGTTGAATCTTTCATCAAGGGGCACCAAATTGTTAGCTGGATAAGGTTTTTAGCAGAATTATGGCGAATTAGTGTCATACGAACTGTTTATATATTGTTCTCATAATGATTAAATGATTAATGATACAATGATCTTATAAGAATGATGCATTATAAAGAAATAATCAATATCGATATTGTTATATATAAAATTATCTTTGTTAGATTGGCACGTGAGGTTATGTGATATTGGGAGACGGGGTGATGTATATTGGAAAAAATATCGGGTTGGTTGGTAGTTATTCATGTGATCTTGGATTTGCACAACTCGAATTCTATTTTTATCATACATGACACTGTAGATCTCAATTACATGAGAAACCCTACCCTTAAGCATTACCCAACCCGAAGGTGTAATCTCGAGTCCTTCAGGATTTCTACGAGTTTCTAGCCAATTCTCATAGATCAAGGATTTTGCTCAGGTGATTCCTCATTGGAATGAGGGTTCGAATCCTTCCAAAATCCAAACTCATTCATAGGAAAACATTAACATGTTGATAAAAATAAACAACATTTAGCAAAACTGAAACAATTAATCATCTGTAATTATCAATTTTCATTATGCTCGAGTGAGAAAAAGCAGGTTATATGTAAAATTGCGTTCCAGACATTTTCCAAGACAGATAGATTTCAGTATTCTCGTAACGATTGACAAGAATATGTAATAATATCATATGAAATTAATCATTTGCATATGATTAGAAATTATTTTCGCAAACACAAAAGTCTACACCGCCTGACCTAGTTAAGACAGGAGAAAGATTATTGAGCGCTGAAACTATATCGATATCGATATAAGCACCCGCATCATATTAGTAAGCATCCATAATAAATACACTTAATAACCATCCAATTTATAGTAAGCATCATATTAGTAAGAAATTAAAGTTTATCAAAATTACCAAACAAAAAAAAAGGTGAGGGAACAAAATAAAACCAAAATATGAAAAAAGGAAGATAAACGTGATTCTTTCCATTAGTTTTAAAAACACTACTAATAATGAGATATTCGATTATTAATAATACGAACATAGGCTGTGTATTATGATAATCACATCGTCTGAGGAGGAATTGAACCTCCATTCACCCTGACCAAACAGGAAAGAACTATCCATATCAGACCCTGAGTGGGATGAACACCCCAAAAAAAAGGAAGTTTTGTTACAAACAACAAGAGTCATTTGTAACCTTAAGGAAAGGAATCCGGGCAGCCATAAACTTCCAAAACTGCCTCACTTAGTCCCGTAAAGAACTAGGAATTGAGAGTAGAAGTTTTGTTACAAACAAGAATCATTTGTAACCTTAAGGAAAGGAATCCGGGCAGCCATAAACTTCAAAAACTGCCTCACTTAGTCCCGTAAAGAACTAGGAAATGAAGTTACAAACAACAAGAATCATTTGTAACCTAATGAGACCGAGCAGCCATAACTGTCTCTTTTAAAGAGAATGCGAGTTTGAAAGCTTGGCGTACACAGCCTACATTAACTAATATTGGTTACCTTGAGTACACAGCCTACATTAACTAATATTGTTTACCTGGGAATTTCTTTTTTATCACAAAAATAATTTTTTCGGCGAAATTTCTGTCCTATCTTTAACAAGTATTCATAAAAGGAAATTCACAGGCAAAGCCATATTGTATATTGTATATTAAATCACATTCAATTGCGATTAGAAATAACGATAACGATAACGTTAATGGCTATTACTCGAAAACCAAGAAAAAAAACAAAGAAATAATCGACTCGACTTAGTAATAACATAAAACACCATATTACTCGAAAACCAAGAAAAAAACAAAGAAATAGGAAAGCTAATCGACTTGGTAATAACATAAAACACCATATTACTCGAAGTAATGTAACCAATCAAGAAAAATCTTATATTAATAAAACGTCGCGTGCTACATTGGAGGAAATTAGAAGTATACTAGAATATTGCGAGGAAAATGATATTGATAAAAACGATATTGATAAAAACGATATTGATAAAAACGAAATTAAAATAGATTGGGTAGTTATAATATTAATATTTATTTGCTGTTTAAAATTCGCTTACTATGCGGTTTCATCTATAGGATGTCATCGATGTCGTCAATGGTGAGGAAATTAAGCAAGAATCGGCAAAGGAAGAGGGTGATTTTTTTCCATTAATTCCTCAGGAAAGAAATTCAAATTTTGGTTTGCCAAAGGTAACATTTATCGAATATTACTGTTCTACTTGTTGATATTTATTCCTGTTTATTTTCGTATTATTTATAGGAAGAGCTTGAAAAGGCGAGGGAGATTTTTTTAAATAGGATTGAATCTATTTCCTATAACAAAGTTACCAAACAATTTACGATTTTTCCAGATGATGATAAAGATATTTCAGAAAATGTTCTTTGGTATACTAGGTATGGGCGTCCTCATGAAGAATCAATTAATAAGTGGCTTCAATTGATTCTTAGTTGGGAAAAGAAGAATATCGATAGATTTTTAGGTGGCTATTTTGAGCAAGATAAACTTGTAAATTTATGTTGCATAAGTTTGCGTAATTTTTATTTTGCTTTGGAGTTAGGTTTGGCGGTGAAGGAAAATGATTTTTTTGTTCAACACATGATAAAGTATTTTTTTTAAATAAAAGTAAATTCTGAAAATTTAAGGGGCTTTATCGTTATTGTTTTGCACATGTTGATCCTAACGGTTAACCTAATTTTATAGAATAACGTTATCAATTTACATTAACGTGAAGATCTCGATATTAATAAAGAATAGGCTGTGTTTATTTGTGTTCATGCTGTGTTTGCGAAAATAATTGTCCTAACGCTAACGCTAATCGTAATGAGAACAGGTGTGTTTATTAGTGTTCCTGGTCGATTATCAAAAAATCGACTATGGCCGATTTTTCAACTTAGTCGATCGATTTTCAAAAAATCGGCTGGTCGATTCTTGTATAACATACTAAAAAAGGAAATGATATATCAGGTCACGATAATTAATAAAAACGCGAAAATTTGACACGTAATTTCATTTTTGTCAAATGTTCCAACAAAATTCTATTCATTTTCGCTATTATAATGGTTCTAATGATGATTTTTCACCAACTATTATTGAGACAGAACAAAACTATAATAGAACAACACCTATACATTCACCACTATCACCACTACCACTATCATTACCACTATTACTACCACTATCATCACCATCACCAATACTTCATGACGTGTTTTTAGAAGAACCAGTAGTTAATTTTGCTCAAGATATACGACCAAGCATCAACAGTAATAAAAGATCTAAACCAGGAAAAAGCTGGATATGGAATCATATGAAGAAAGACAAAATTAACAAAAAGGTCAAATATCTCATTTGGAATGATATCAATGGTGATCTTAAGCAATGTATGCATCTTTTTGAACTTAAGACCAGTATAACTAATTTGATTACTCATCTTTGAGTTGAACATCGATTTGACAAAAATGGTTCTTTATTACCATTAAATGATAAACAAGATCAAACAGTCTTGTCTCACTCAGTTCAGCATGCCACATTATCAACACAATCGCAAGCTTTGATAAATTCTTCACAACCAACTTTACAAGAATTTGCCAAGTATAAAGCACCATTATCTAACAAAAAACAAGATCGAATTACTTCTCGTATACTGGCATGAATAGTTGATGACATGCAACCTTTTAATATTTTAAAAAATACCCATTTTCAAGACATTCTATATGAAATTGATTCACGAGTTTCTTTTCCTGGTGAAGATATTTTTAAGCAAAAATTACACCAAGCAATAAATTATTCAGAAAATTGTTTGAAAAATCTTATTAACAACACTTTGGAAACTTGTGCATTTATAACTGACTTGTGGACTAAAGCACATAAACCTTACATTGGAATTACCATACATTGGCTTACTTCTAGATTTGAAATACACAAGACCTTGCTTATAATTGAAAGCTTTCCATATCCACATACATCCGAACATATTGAAGATTGTTTGCATAAAGAACTAGTAAAATGGAATTTAAGCAACAAATGTTTAGCAGATATAACAGATAATGCTAGTTCAATGGTGAAAGCAATGAGAGATCTTGAAATCTTACATATTTGGTGTACAGCTCATATTATTCAACTTGGAGTTACGGATGGCTTAAAAGAAGCAACTATTTTAATTAGTCATGCAAAAGCCTTAAATATCTTCATTGTTGGAAAAGATAAATACCGAAAATGATTACAATTAGTACAATTCGAAATGACTAAAGCAAATAATCTATTACTAAAAAACAAAGATGTTTCAGTATTAGATCCAATATCAAATGATATTATAATCTGGTGAAACTCAACCTACCTATTACTAAGCTGACTACTTGATCTTTATGAAGCTACAAAATTATTACAACAAAATCTAGCAAAAGACAAAGAAAGAGAAGTTAGAAATGATGCAAAAAAAATGAAAAAGTTGCTTTTTAATCATGAAGATTTGTTGAGAATTCAAGAATTGGTCGAATTATTAGGTCCTTTTGCACATGTCACAACAATAATAGGCAGAGACCATTATCCTACTCTTTCAATGATGTTACCATTGATTAAAGTTTTATAAGAACATTTATTCTGAAAAGCACATACTCTTACCAATCCAATTATTTGTAAGATGCGTGATGAAATTGAGCTATCTTTTGGAAAATGCTGGAATGAGCCAGGATTAGAAGGATACATTGCTGCCATGCTAGATCCAAGATTTAAAGACCTAAGTTTTGAATCTGAAAAATTCAAAACAACAAAGAATGAATTATAATATCAAATGAAAAAAGATATGAGAAACATATATCCAACAACTTATGCTTCTGAAAACCATGTACCCTCTTTATTAAATTCACTATTTGAAGAAGCTCCTTGCCAAGTGTGTCCTGTTGAAACTGAACTTAAGGTTTATTTTGACATGCCCAAAATGCCAAAACATGATCTTTCCGATCCACTTTATAAGAAACACAACCCATTAGTCTTTTAGCACGATAATTGACTAACTCTACCCTTAATGGCACGGCAAGCACAACGGTCATTGGCTATTTTAGGAATCTCAGTTCCATCTAAGCATTTATTTTCTGATGCAGAAAATGTAGTTAATGAAAAGCGAAACCATCTTCACCCAAATACAGTTCACGACTTACCTTTTTTAAAGAAAAATCAACACTGTTTTAATCCTTATTTCGATTTAGAGTAATATAGTTCTTTTAAAAAAAATTCGTGTTAGTTTTACTCAATTACGTTTTTAAAATGATTCAAAAGCATTTGGTTTGAATGGTCTATGCAAAGGTTTTACTTGTAGTAATAAAGAATATTATAAATAATAACATTTTACATAGTTGTTATTGCTGTTACCATTAATAGCACTAGTGGTTCCATTTTCGTTTTCATTGCCGTTGTTATTACGGTTATTGGTGGCTTTAATTTGACGCAAACTGAAAAAAAGATGAAAGCTAAATATAGAATGTGGTACAAAAAATCGACCGACCAACTGTGGTCGATAATTTTGATGATAGTCGGTCGGTCGATTTTTTGTTGTCGACCAGGATCACTAGTGTTTATCTGTGTTCTTGAAGTTCACATGACGTTTCCTGTCACCGTTATCGATACAAAATCAGTTGTCCATTCCAAAGAATTTTTTATCATAAGTTCTCCAAGTTGCCTAATTATGTACGTCATAAAAATATTAGCTTTGATGTTTCAACATCGATATCAAGTTAAATAAATAAATCCGAACATACATCTTGCGGTTCAAAAAAAGTAATTCTAAAATTATAATGATTATTAAAAACAAGTTTTTAATAATGGTGGCGGTGCAAGTACAAGTAAAGATCTTTGCTGAAATTACAAGTGTATCACATGATCAATATATTCAAGAGATTGGAAGAGCAAGTCGAGCGGGTCAAGAATCTAAGGCAATATTATTTTTATATATTATAGTGCTTGTAGTTTTTAAAGAATCTTCAGCCAAAGTAGCTTTACTTTGCGATAAGTTACATTTTAACATTTTACAGTCGATCAATTTTTGTCTAATACCAATACTGCATTAATTAACGCCACGAAGAATTTTTATCTTTCTATAGAGAAAAAAATGAAACTTTAATGGGAAAACCATACGCCATTTTTACTATGATAATGTAGGCTGTGTTTGTATTATCTTCGTGTGAAAAGTGTTGTGTGTTTATGAGAAAATAATACAATATCATTGAATCTGTTTTCCTAATGAGAACAGGCTGTGTTTATCTGTGTTTATCTGTGTTCTTTCTTCCCAAGTCGTACTGTGTTTGCGAAAATAGTTGCTATTTTGATATACTGTATGCCTAATCTTTTGTTAACGGTAATATTATCGTTATAAGAATTGTTACGTTTCAAATTAAGATTTTCATAACAGTTTTAGTCTGTTAAGAAAAAAAACATATATTTCTAATAGATAAAAGGTTTGTAACAAAAGTTTATTAATAAAAAGC